GAAGCTGGGAAGGGAAGCACCCTAAGTGGCCTCTACTACAAGAGGAAACAGAAATAGGTAGTAAAGTCTTCACATTTTTTTTTCTTTTATGTTTAAAACAGCTGGACTTTTGTAAGACAGAGAAGTTGGGGAAAAATATTGACTGAGTCACTGTTTCCCTCTTTCCCCTTCAGAGATAAGATTTTTCTTTTTAAGAGATGATTTCATTTGCTTTATTTTCATGCATTCTTTTTTTTTAAAATTATTTATTTATCTGGCTACACTGGGTCTTAGTTGTGGCATGTGGGATCCAGTTCCCTGACCAGAGATCTAACCTGGACCCCTGCATTGGGAACAAATAATCTTAGCCACTGGACCACCAGGGAAGTCCCTTCATGCACTTCGTTTTGTTTTTTAAAGCAGTTATGGTTTTTTAACAGACAATTTAGAAATGGTGGTATGATACACATAACATAAAATTACCATTTTGAACATTTTAAAGCATGCAATTTAGTGGCATTTAGTACATTCACAATGTTACACAAACATCACCGCTGTCTGGCCCTGGAACATTTTCATCACCCCAAAAGAAACCCATGCCCATGAGGAGTCATTTCCCACTATCCCCTCCCCCAGGTCCCTAGCAGCCACCAATCTGCATCCTGTCTATGTGGTTTGCCTTTTCTGGAGTGTTCATATTGGGAGAGTTCATATAAATGGTATCATATAATATGTGGCTTTTGGTATCTGGCTTCTTTTACTTATCCTAGTGTTTTCAAGTTTCATCTATGCTGTAGCAGGAATAAATACTTCATTCTTTTTTATGACTGAATATTCCTTTGTAAAGATATACCGATTTTACTTATCCAAGTTTTGGCTATTGTGACTAGTGATGTATCAACATTTTATACAAGTATTTGAACACTTGTTCTCAATTATTTTGAGTGGAAATGTTCGGTCATATGACAATCTTATGTTTACCTTATTAAGGAACCACCAAACTGTTTAGAGTGCCACATATCACTATGTAAATGTTTCTTCAGAGAATCATTAAAATAACATATTTAAGAAGCTTCCTGCATCAGTGGAAATAAGGTGGGGAACCCAGGTCCCACTGTAATATTAATAATTATTATTGTTAGTTTAAAATCATGCTTCTGGTTGTAAAGTATTATGATTTTTCACATGCTTTGTGATCACATGATCATTATTTATTTGAGCTGGACAACACTGCAAAATGGTGAGCAAAGCTAGTCATGCACTCATGCCATGCATGTGTGTGCTCAGTCGCTCATCCGTGTCTGACTCTTTTTGTGACCCCATGGACTGCAGCCCACCAGGCTCCTCTGTCCATGGAATTCTCCAGGCAAGAATACTGGAGCAGGTTGCCATTTCCTTCCCTAGGGGATCCTCCTGGCCCAGGCCTCAAACCCACGTCTCCTGAATTGGCAGGTGGGTTCTTCACCACTAGCGCCATTTGGGAAGCCCAGCTCATGCCATAGCTTTTAAAAAACTTAAAGTACAATTTGTATCACCTTTGTTGCTGCTACTGCTGCTAAGTCGTGTCCGACTCTGTGCGACCCCATAGACGGCAGCCCACCAGGCTCCTCCGTCCATGGGATCTTCCAGGCAGGAGTACTGGAGTGGAGTGCCATTGCCTTCTCCATAGAGGAATTTCATGTATATTTCCTTTAGGAAGATACAAATTTTTTTGGTATAATGAGAAGGTAGAGGGAGACATTGCTTACACTTGGGCAGGTCTTGCAATCTGGCTCCCATAGCAGCCAACTTGAGCCAAGCATTTGAGAGCAGCTAGCTCCTGTGTACCGTGGAGGGGATTCCACTATGGAGGGTGGGGATGTGGGGAAGATGGGGCTGGGGGAAGGGGCAACGGAGGCAGCAGGTCAAAGTGCATTATCAGGCCTCTCACATGGAGGCCCGTACGGGGAGGCAAGGAGTGTTGACTGAACAATTCACCAACCCACCCCAAACTCATCTTCCCAGGTCCTATTCTAGTTCTTCATCCCTAAATATGAACCATCAAGCAAGAACCATCGACCACTTTAGAACAGGTATAAAAAAGAGAAAGATGGGCAGATGACGAAAAAGATGACCCTGGAGAAAACTTAAGAGGATTCAGAGAGTAGAACACTTTTTAAAACAATTAGTTTTTCCAGAGAGATCTGAGATGGTATTATCTATATCAAATATTAACAGGTCAGCTGTGAGAAAGGAACAAGTAGAAGTGAACACTTTGGGGAAATGTTTTAAAATATGCCATTCATCACACACACACTCACACACACACTTCTGCTAACTGTGTGTGGCGACGAATGTTAAGTAGGCTTATTGTGGTGATCATTTCATAATATATGCTCTTAACTAAGAGACAATAGGCCCCAGATAGAGTCACTTGTGCTAAGTCCACATCGCCAAACTGAGACTTAATAATTAATTAAAGTGTGCCCAGAATTGTAATCTTAATCTGTCCATCTGGAATTTCCCGGTCGGCACTTGTGAGGTCATCTGCCAGCTAGACCCCTGCCATCCCCCAAAGGCAGGTGACCTTCCCTGAAACAATCCACTCGTTGCTGTTAACGTCCTTATCCTGTCTCGTTCTGCCAATAAAAGTCTTCCATTTTGTACAGCAGTTCAGAGCTCCTATCTGCAAGATAGGAAGCTGCCTGATTCATAAACCATCGAGTAAAGCCAATAAGAGCTTTACATTGACTTTAGCTGAATTTTTTTTGAACACTACAAATAGAGACCAATAGAGAACAGATTTATGGACATGGTGGGAAGGGGTGGGGGCTTGCAGGGGGAGGAAAGTGTGGGATGTATGGAGAGAGTAACATGGAAACTTACTATATGCAAAATAGATAACCAACGGGAATTTGCTGTGTGGCTCAGGAAACTCAAAACAGGGTCTCTATATCAACCTAGAGGGGTGGGATGGGGAGGGAGACGGGAAGGAGGTTCAAGAGGGAGGGGACATATGTGTACCTAAGGCTGATTCATGTTGACGTTTCACAGAAAACAACAAAATCCTATAAAGCAATTAACTTTCAATTAAAAAATAAATTTTAAAAAAGATAAAACATTTTTAAAAAGAAAAAAATACAAATGTCAAATCACTCATTATGTTGCACATCTGAAATTAATATATGTCAATTAGATCAAAATTTTTAAAAAATGTGATTGCCAAAAATTAAAGTGCTGGAAGGCTGAGAGATAAATTAGAATATGGATAGGTGGAGAGACAAAGAGAAGGCACAAGAAAATAGTTTAGAAAAAAAAAAAAAATATGAGCGTTCTAACAGAAGTCTCCAAAAAGCAAAATTAAAGAATTTTTTCAAATCCTAAGAGCCCATCTACCTTAATCCCCGGCTGTCATCTGTCATCTCCCGTTTTCACCTCCTCTGAAGACACCACCGTGGTCCACACTCCCTCATGACCCTTGCTCTCTCACACTGTATTGTTAACTTCAAGGTCTACGTTGGCGAACCAGAAGATACACCATAGCCACATATGTCCTTATCCTCTTTAGATGGATATATAGTCATTTGAAATAAATATATTTCCCAGTCTCCCTTGTAGCAAGGTGTGGTCATGGTCCCAGAATATAAGCAGAAGTGCTGTGAGCAACTTTAAGAGGAGGAAGTGCATCCTTTTCTTATCCTCCTTTTATGCCAGATGGAATATTGACTTAATGACTAGAGCCTGGCAGCCAACTTGGACCATGAGGTGAAAGCTACCTACTGAGGACATGGAACAAAAAGATAGAAGCCTGACCCCTGATACCACAAGCTACCATGACCTTCATGAGCTGCTTGTTTGTGAGAGAACAACAGCCATCTTGTTTAAATCATTTATATACAGTTTAACCTAATCCTATTCTCAGGAGGTTTCAAAGATGTCCCTCAGGTCACACAGTTAAGTAACTGGCAGAGCCAAAATTTGAATGCAGACCATTTTATTCCAGAGCCCATAAAGTGGGCTCCGCCCCATCTCAAGGCCTTACAGAGGAGACAGCACAAGGGACTGCAATCATGAGCTCTAGAGGGGGCACCAAGAAGCCAAGTGAGTATGCGGTGGAAAAGAAACAGCAAGAGGAGCATACAGCAGAGAGAGTGGACGAGCTTCACTTCACACTTGGCAGCCCCATTCTCACGGTGCTGCGACAGAGGAGAGAGGGAAAGCTGGCCCTTGGGTTGAACCATGATTGGTTGGTTCAACAAGGTGGGGGACAGAGGTGTTTGCATACTACTTCTCTGTTCTTCTCAGCATGTCTGGATTATCTTTTTTCATCTCCTCCACTTAGGTGCGGGGTTCCCCCGTCTCCCAGCTACTCAGAGACCGAGCTTCCCCAAACAGAGTCTCCTCAAGCATCTCTGTTTTCTCTCCAATGGCTCTCAACCTTGTGCCTTCTCACATTTGTTTCTTCCGAGTCTTCACTAGGCTTCCCTAGTGAGTCAGTTGGTAAAGAATCTGTCTGCAATGCCGGAGACCCAGGGTTTGATCCCTGGGTCAGGAAGATCCCCTGGAGAAGGAAATGGCAACTCACTCCAGTATTCTTTCCTGGAGAATCCCCATGGACAGAGGAGCCAGGCAGGCTAGAGTCTGTGGGACTCCAGAGTCGGACACGACTGTGCGACTAACTTTCACTTTTCACATCAATCTTAACACCTAACCAGGGCACCGCTCACCGCTCCTCCCCTCACTATTCACCCCCACCTCCTGCTTTAGCCTCTACACGTGGCTCCTCTCCAAACACCAGGTCAGGCCTCTGACAAAGGCCTTCTAAGCCTAACAAGTCAAAGCACTTGTCAGATCTCCTCTTTGGAAGCCCAACCCTGAAACTACTCTTTCAAAGATAAACATCGCCCTACTTGCCAAACTGAATGCGTTTTCCCCAGTTTTTCTTCCCCTTTAATCTCCAGGGAGCTTGTCCTCTCACAGACCAGGCCTCATCTTCTTAAAATTCTCCCTGATTTTGGCTTTCACAGCAGTGATGGCGGCACCTGCATCCCAAGCCAGGGACAAGCCAGACTGAACTGCCACCCCCAGGCCAAGCGAGTCTGCCCTCTCGGCTTCCATGTTTATCTCCGCTCTTCTACTGACAGCCCAGGGGAGAAAGGAAGCTACGTCACAACACCGAAATACACAGTTCTTTCATCTCCTCGTGACATGCAGCCAGCTTTGCGCCTCTCGCGGGGCTTCTGGGACAGCAGACAAGCTTCCAGTTTGAGCAGCAGTCTCAGCACCTGTGTTTTCTCAGGAGTCTGACAGCCATGCTCCCCACAGCCCCAGCGACTTGCCCTGTGAAGCCTCCAAGGGGCTCAAGTCCCGGTAGGAGGGGGAGATTCTCTTTGCAGCCTGTGAATGATGTAGAGGAAAAAAAAAAGAAGGGACTCCCTGGTGGTCCAGTGGTTAAGACTTTGCCTCCCAATGCGGGAGTTGTGGGCTCCATCCCTGGTTGGGGAGCTAAGATCCTAACAGTCCTCCAGGCCAAAAAACAAAACACAAAACAGAAGCAGCATTGTAACAAATGCAGTACAGATTCTTTAAATGATCCATGTGGGAAAAAAAAAAAGAAAGAAAAAGGAAAAACCAATCTGCACCCCCACCTCGCCCCACGAAGTGCCCAGAGAGATGACCACAGAAGGGAAGGAGAACGGGTTCCTGGGCTCCCCTCCGGACCCCCACTACCCTCCGCAGCCACTGCTGAGAACCAGCACTGCGCATTCCTCCTGTGTTTTGGCAACAATCTTGCAGTGTTTCTGACGACAGCCAGCCCGGCACCTGCCCAGCTGTCAGCCAGCATGCCTCTGCTTAGGAAACCTAGTTCAAGAAAACGATGCAGAAAGGGGTGCATGTAAGCCTCTCTCCTTCACAACTGGGCAGATCTCTTCCCTTCCACCGCCAGAGCACACGTTCTCCCAGGAGAGGCAGGGGAGGGCCCACACTGACAAACAGACCAAACCCCAGCACTGTGACAGGATTCGGCTATTTATTGATGGTGATGTTAAGACACTTCCCAGCAACGACTGTTGTGACAAAGACTCTAAAGGTAATAAAATAATGATGACATCATAGACAAGGCGTTGGGAACATTCCTTGCAGAGAAAATTGGCTTTTCCTCTCCAGTCAGAGTGACCAGGCGCTACATGCCATCCCGGGCCTGGCCTCCTGGCCCCAGATATCCTTGCCTCGTCCTCTGTCTGGCCCCTCCTCTGAGGATGCCAGACTGGGGGTTGAGAGCAGGGCGCCTTCCCCGCGCACCCGACGTCTCGGAACTCTCCTCAGCTCCTCTGGCCTGGCTTTCTGGGTTTCCTGCCGGTGAGGCGAGTGCTCACGAGGGGGTGAGCCACGCCTGGTGACAAAACCACTAGCACCACAAAGCTGGTCCTTCCTCTTCATGAAGTTAACACAACCCTTTTTCATTCTCGTTTTCTTTTAAAGGAAAGAAAAGTCTTAAAAATATATGGCACTAGAGTGTAAAATTATACAGCTGCCTCCGGTTGCCATTTCCTACAGCTTCCAGCCCACGGAGCCCGCTTCCCCTCAGATGTAGAGCTGGTGGGAGGCCAGGGTGTCCATGAAAGGCCGCACCAGGTTGTCCGTGGAGAAGTAGAAGATGAGCCCGAACGTGATGGAGATGGGGAGGGCGGGCAGCGCCTTCTTGAACACGGCGAGCAGCAGGAGGGTCAGACACAAACCCTGCAGGACACAGAGGCGGGGGGGTGTGAGGAGGTGACCACCGGTGTGGACATGGGGAGGGGAGCAGTTAGTGACGGTCCAGTGTCTGGGCTCAGGAGCCCTGACACCCCATTGTCTCCCCTGGTCCTCCCGGCAGCTCTGGGAGGTGCGTGGGGGCAGAGGCCCTCAGCCAGTACTAACGCCTTACACATGAATGGATGAACCGGCAAGCAGCCCTCCTGAACTGGGCCGCTGCTACCAGACCACCTTCCCTGGCCATGTGACGTGTGACCTGATGGCATGAAGCCTTCCCCCAGGGGACACGTATTTACACAAGAACTGGGTGGGTCTGACTGAAAGGCAGCAGTGTTCTCAGCTGACACCAAGGGAACCAAAATGCCATGTGACACGCCCCCTGCCCCCCACCGCAAGCAGGCGCAGTGGTTGCCTATCCTGTCCCTGCCCCAGCCGATGCAGGCAGTGGTCCAGGGTGGGGACAGGGAACCAGTGCCTGTCCCCTGCCTGGGGAGAGTAGGGCTTCAAGGACAGTCTGGAAGTGGAGGAGCCTGGGTGTCCCCAACCCTGTCCTTGACACACACTGTGAGCAAAGAGAAATGTCCAAAGAACCAGAGCCTTGGTCCTAAGACGCCCCGTGATGCCCGAGGTTCGCCAGGCAGACACTGAGTATGGGCCGTTCAGGGCCTCCACCTCCACCAATCATCACAGGATGCGTCCCCATTACGTGTACCTGATCATGACAAGTGACTATGTGTGCTAAGCCTCTGCAGTCGTGGCCAACTCTTTGTGACCCTATGGACTGTAGTCCGCTGAGCTCCTCTGTCCATGGGATTCTCCAGACAAGAATACTGGAGTGGATTGTCATTTCCTCCCCCAGGGGATCTTCCTCTCCCAGGGATCGAACCTGCGTCTCTTGCATCTCCTGCATTGGCAGGTGGGTTGTTTTATCACTAGCATCACCTGGGAAGCCCTTAAGTGACTATAGGGGCCTTCAAATTTCACCACTGGGGTTCAAAGTGAGGGGCCCCCTCTCAAGCCCCAGGAGATCCCATGGGGACTCAGAACCACATGATGTCTGGGTGGTGTGAAGGGAAAACAGGCAGCCCCGGAGTCAGAGACCCGGGTTCAAATCACAGCTCAGGCCTCGCAGCTTTGTGCCCACGGCCAGGCCCCCACCCTGCTCCATCTTTCAAACATCTCAGGTCACCATGCCTACCTCACAGGTGTGGCGAGACAAACGTACAGAGTTAGCCAAGACCTTGGCACCCAGCACACACACTCAGTAACACCAGAACCCCTGGTCACCCTCCCTGCACCATGTCCGCGTCTACTGACGACCAGATCCTTCTGTGAACCTTGGTCTCATCTTGAGGATCTTTCTGGCAACCCTGCCCAAAGGACTTTGGCAAGCCCTTCCGAGGGATAGCAGCATCAGAAAACTCCCTGGGGTACCTGGGCCCCCCATGAAGGCCCTCAGGGACCCCCACTGCCCAGGGGTGGGTGGGGAGCCACCCAGGCCCACTCACGATGAGGATGGCCACAAAGCAGGCCAGTGTGGTGTTCCAGTCCCCGCTGCCCGTGGCGGCTGCCTTGCCCACCAGCACGCTGTAGAAGATGAAGTCTCCGAGGCCGAGCTTCACGCCTCCTGTGTGGTGGAGAGAGGGGAAGCCTGTAGGTCTCAGAAACGCCAGGAGGAAGCAGCAGAGAAGGCTGACCCCAGCCGAATGGCCCAGGCACTTGGCCCAGCCCAGGGGACCCAGGGCCCAGAGGCCTGGCGACCTCAAGAGGGCTGATGGGGGGCGTCACTGCCTAGCCTACCTCACCTGGACTCTGGGACAAGGATTAGCTGTCTCAGAAAAACAGCAGCCAGCGGGAAAAAGGGGGAAACCTGTGGCCTGGGTGACTTGCATTCTGGGCTGTGCAAAGCCAACATCTCTGATAATTCGCGCAATACTGGTGCTTGGTACTTGGTTTGAGTAAAGACAAGAGTGAATAAAATCCATTGTCCAGGGCTGGTGGGAAGTTACCCAACTTAGCACTGAGTATGAATTATAAATGCTTTTTAGGAAATTTAATTTCATTGCTTTTAAGAATATATATGATACCCGAGGTCCTCTGGAGACTAATGTCTCTTTAAAAGAGGTAAACGTATATTGTAAATCAACTCTGTTGTTGTTGTGTAGTCGCTAAGTCGTGTCCGACTCTTTCAGCCTCATGGAAATTTCCCAGGCAAGAATACTAGGGTGGATTGCTATTTCCTTCTCCAGGGGATCTTCCTGACCCAGGGATCAAACCCACTCTCCCACACTGCAGGCAGATTCTTTACCACTGCGACACCAGGGGAGACAAAGATAACTTGTAACTAGTGTATCCATTACTGAAAAGGAAATGAGCTTCTAGGATGTTTTGTTTCCTTTAGTACAATTGCCCTGTACACCTTCTTACAGGATAATTTCATTCATCACGGACAATAAAAATGCTTATGAAACAGACTGGAATTGAGCGGGTCTCCATCAAGGAAACATGCCCTGCCCTGTCTCACCCCACCCCACCCCCTCCACTCTGGGCTCCAAGCAAGAAGCACCTCACCTTCGTCTGTTCTTTCCTTCACCCCTCCACCCCAACTTCCTCACGTTGGCAACCATGTAAGCCCTGCCCTCTTACAGACCTGCTCTTGCAGGTCTCTTGCTACCACCCCCGCTCCTGCTTTCCACCCACCACACCCCTTTCCTGCCTGCTTTCCTTTCCCTTCTCTCTCCTTTTTCAATCAGTTCTTTCTCAAAGGAACTGCGCTCACCTCTCAGGCACTTCAGAGACCTGAGGCAGTAAGTCCCACATCCCCCAGTCAATGTGCTCAGGCAAGGCCACCACCCGGCCCCCGTGGACACCCCCACGCTGTCTATCTCAGCACCCTGCCCTCTGTCTGCTCCCCAGGATCCTCCACAAGCGACCTTCCCTTCATCCCCTTAACATTGCCCACACTGGCCCTCTGGCTCTCCACTCTGACCCTGCACCCTTCCTGGGTACCTTCTGGGGACCCACAGTTTTGACAACAAGTATATCCCGGTGACTCCTCGGGCCTGGAACCCTGACCTTCCTGAGCACTACTCCCCTCTCGTGTGTCTCTGGCTTCTCCACCTAACATCCTCCAGAGCCTCCCACCTGCCGGCCCCTCCTCTCATCACTCTCCCCGCCTCCCTGCCCATCCCTTGTCCAGCCGGGTCCTGTGGGTGCATCCCAGGCAGGTGGTGATGCCCGAGTCAGGCCCTTCTGGCTCTTCCCTCACCCGGTCCTTCGGCAGTCTGTGTTCCCACTGCCACCTGGGATCTGTCTGGGATGCAGCTCTGCTCACTTTAACTCCCTGCAACAAATGCCTAATGGCTCCCCATGGCCTCCAGGATGAAGTCTGAGCTCCCAGGAGTACCGCTCACCTTTGAAGATCTGGCCCCCAGCTTCTCTGGCCACCAAACATCCCAGAGCTTCCAGATGGCTTCCTCCCCTCTCATCTGAGCCTTTGCCAATGCTGTTGTGGAACAGAATCTAACCAGCCTTTGTCCCTCATTCTGGGAGGGAGATCAAATCCTTGGAATTTCCCCAGTGAAGGAAGTGTCTCTGTTGTTGAGCAGCCCCTTGGATCATTTATGCAAGTGAGAGGACGGCGCTGCTGCTGCTGCTGCTAAGTCGCTTCAGTCGCATCCGACTCTGGGCAACCCCATAGACGGCAGCCCACCAGGCTCCTCTGTCCCTGGGATTCTCCAGGCAAGAATACTGGAGTGGGTTGCCATTTCCACTGGTCACCAGAAAGACCAACCATGTGATAAGGAGTTTGCAACTCCAGGCTAGGCTGAGTCTGGGGAGAGGAGGCAGCCTGGAGATGAAGTCCAATGTCATGAGCAAGGACTCAATCCATTATGCCTATGTAATGAGACCCCAGTAAAAACTCTGGACACTGGAACTTGATACACACATCCATGTGCAGGGGTGGGGATGATTCCTGGACCCCAGGGGCAGAGAACACCTTCCCAGACCTCACCCTATGTGGCTCTTCATTTGGCCGACTGGTCCTCATTTATATCCTTTATAATGTCAATAAAACTGTAATGGTAAGTACAGTACTTTTCTGAGTTTCGAGAGTCATTCTAGTAAATTTTCCAACCTGACGGAGTTGTGAGAATCCCCAGATTTGTAGCCAGTTGCTCAGAAGTGTGGGTGACCTGGAGACCCCCAGAGCTTGTGGCTGGCATGTGAAAGGTGGGTGGTCATGTGGGGATGGTGCCCATGTGGGATCCGTGCTGATTCGGGCTGGGGCTCAGCGCCAGGCCAGTCTCCAGCCCAGCTGCCTGTCTGCTGGATGACTGACGACTTGTCCTTCCAGGTCAGCCTCCAGCCTATCGTCTTCCCCACGTCTGTCCTGAGTACTTTTTACCTAACCCCCCCTGACTTGGGCTGCTCCATGGGGAACTTCTCAAGGACAGCAGCTGTGTTAACCTGGCAGCATCCCCCTGGCTTCCACGTGCCTCCCAGCACACACTAGTGGTCCATAAATGTGTGCTGATCGGTTATTTTAATCCGCTTGGAAACATAACCATGTATCAGAAGGTCTTTGGATGTGTCTTCAAGATTGTCCTCCATACCTGCTCCTTCTGCTCCCAGCCACTCGGGGCTCTCCTGGGGGAAGCCTGCACCCCAACTCTGCCCCTGCCTTACACTCCACAGCCCCAGTGAGGAGCAGTGCTGTTGGCACCGACCTGCCCAGCCCAGCTCACCCCCAGAACACAGAACAGAGCCCACATCTGTGACCCCGCGGCTGCACTGGGACGTCCTCCGGCTACTTGAGCGCACACTCTACCAGCCACAGCCCTGCCCTCCCCCTCGTCTCCCCCCTCCCGCACAGCTCAAACCCCTCCCCGTCCCATGGCTCCCACTGTTCACAGCACGCAGATGAGAACCCCCATCTTGATTCAGAAAACCCCTGAAGCCCCTGCCTGTCTCCCGGCTCCATCTCTGCACTTGGGTCTCAGCATCCTGCTTCCACTTCCTCTAAGTCGGCCCCAGGGTCACTGCTCCCAAGGCGCCCTAGGCTGGAAACTGACCCACACTGCCCCCCCCAGCACTGTGTATCCCCGTCTGTGTCCTCAGCCTCTGGAGCTCAGCTCAGAAGTTACTTCCTTAAGAGACTTCCTCTGACCCCCTCAAGCAGGTCAACAGCCTTGTCAGGGCCCCTACCACCCTATGTTCTTCTGCGCGGTCCTCCCAGCTCCCGAGAGAGTGGTTAGGGCCCACATCTGCATGGCAGCACCCCCAGAGCAGCACCCATACAATCACCCCCCAGTGCAGAGTGGGCACATGGCCAACAACTGTCACACACGAGGTGCAGCCTGGGCATTAAGTCCCTGTGGCCTGCCCATAGGACTGCGCCTTGGCAGGCTTCTCCCTGACTTTATGAAGCATCTCTGATGTCAAATGGGCTCCTCCCTGACCTCAGGGAGCCCCACCCTCAGCCCACGCAGACCGTCCATCTGGACACCTTACTTTCCTCCTCTTCCTCCAGCTCCTCCCCTGGGTAGCCAGGCAGTGGGGGCTCAAAGACGTCAGGGTATGAGGGCTCCCCAAAACTGTCATAGGAGTCTTCTTCTGGGTGTCCGTTGTCATGTGAGGAGGGAGAGAGACAAGAGATAGTCAGAGGGTTCTCTGAGCCCAGGGCTTCCCTGCCCCACCCTGCACCATGCCCAGCCCAACACAAAGAGGATTCTCCAGACCACACCGCAAGGGGAGGGAAGGGAGAGAAGTAGGTCTGAGGCAGATGAGCAAAGTCCCACCCGCACCTGATCCCCAGGGTGTGTGTGCCAGAGGGGTTAGTCTTCCCTGCCCGCCCTGTCCTTATGCCTCCCAGAGAAGCCAGGAGGAAAAGCAGCGCCCCCTGTGATGACAGGCTGTCAGTCCCCTGATACTCACCCATTTCTGGGTCATAGGGGAGCTGCAGGGCTCCCTGAGAGGAAGGGTCCAGCTTGGCCATGCCCACGGTCCACACCATGGCGGCTGGGGAAGGAGAAAAGGGTCCAGCCTCAGACAGTACTAACTGTGGCTGCCCCTGGGGCCTGGGAGGCAAGTGGGACAGTCTGTGTCCCCAAAAAGCCTGCACGGGACCCTCAGTCCCTGTGGGTATTCGCTTATGGCCTCTGAGAGGGGGCCTCTGGGGGTCCAGGCTCCGTTGCACATCCAACACCCACAAAGTGCCCGCCGTCAGTGCATGCTTGCTGATGCTTTCATAAATAGAGATCCCTGCACGCTGGCCCTGAGGCCAGCAGCAACCCCGAGAGTGCTTCTTTAGAGACTGAGCTTCAGTTGTTGAGAAAGCCCAGGGAAAGGTAGGCATCCTGCCACCCGCCTCCCCAGACCCCTGCCCTGAACAGTCCCTCCCCAAAGTCCCTTTCCAGGGGCCTAGAGGGCTGAGTGCGTGGCCTCGGGCTCATGGGAACGTGGCCCATGCCCACTGCGTGAGCCTGGATGAGATGAAACTGGGCGCGGGCCACATTCCTGGAAGCCCTCTTCCTGCTCTAAATGTCCAAGCTTCTTCCTGAGCCACAGCAGGACGAAGCCCACCTTCATGTCGGGAAGGTGGACGCCTCCTGGGATCACCAAGGCTGCCTCCCCTCCTTGGATCAGGAAAAAGGTAAACTGCCTCCCCATTAACTCTGAAAGCCACAGCCGATGCAAACCTTGGTTCCCACGTCTGAAGGAAGCACAGGGCTCACTCACATGAGTATATGAGGGCAGGGAATATGGGCTCATTTCTCTCCTGGGCGGTTTCCACCAGCATCCTCAGTGGTCCTTTGGGGCATAGCACAGCCACAAGATCTGGGAAAGCAAAGTCATCCCTGGCACGTTAAGAAAGACATTTATTTCCAGCCAGCCCCCAGACAGGAGTCAGTGCTCTGACACCAGGCCTGGGCGAGTATATCCTGGAACCTCAGGGCAAGGCTCTCCAACCACGCCCCCCTGTTTCAGCAACCCCACCCTTGGGTTTCAGCCTCGATCCCTAGAGCCTGCACTGGCTGGAGCCCATGGTGGGGTCTAAACAGGCTAACTGCAAACAGGGACTGCTGTGTGGCTCAGAGACCCAGAGGATGGGCTTGAAGTCCCATTTCTCTGAGCCCCAAATTCTTTATCTTAAGAATGTAAGAAGCAGTACTGGTGATGGTAATCTAATACAGTCGACTTTTCAGATCTCTGGGTTCTGTATCCATAGATTCAACCAGCCATGGATCAAAAATTTCAGAAAATAATTCCAGAAAGCTCCCCAAACCAGAATTTGCTGCATACTGGCAATTATAAACGTCATTTACATTCTATTAAGAGCTATTTATTGGAGAAGGAAATGGCAACCCACTCCAGTACTCTTGCCTGGAAAATCCCATGGATGGAGGAGCCTGGTAGGCTACAGTCCATGGGATCACGAAGAGTCGGACATGACTGAACGACTTCACTTTCACTCTCACGTGTTGGAGAAGGAAATGGCAACCTACTCCAGTGTTCTTGCCTGGAGAATCCCAGGGACGGGGGAGCCTGGTAAGTTGCCGCCTATGGGGTCGCACAAAGTCAGACATGACTGAAGCAACTTACCAGCAGCAGCAGCAACAGCTATTTATATATCACTTATATTGTACTACATAAGTAATCTAGAGATAATTTAAAATGTTTGGGAGGGGACATCCCTGGCCCAGTGGTGAAGACTTCGCTTTCCAATGCAGGGGGTGTGTGGGTTCTATCCTTGGTAGGGTAGCTAAGATCCCACATGCCTCACAGCCAAAAAGATCAACATATAAAACAGAAAGAACATTGTAACAAATTCAGTGAAGACTTTAAAAATGGGCCACATCAAAAAACAAAAATCTTAAAAAAACATACAGTATTTGGGAGGATGTACATAAGTTATAAGCTAATCCTATTTCATTTTATGTAAGAGATTTGAGCATCCTTGGATTTTGGTACTTCAGGGGATTCTGGAACCAGTCCCCCAATGATACCGAGACAAGATTATACTAATTAAAGAGCAGCTTGTATTTGGGGTACTCATTATTTACTGGTACTGTGCCCAATCTCAGGGTTGTTCTGAGGAGCAAATGAGTTCTGGCGTGCAAAGTGCGTAAGGGTGCAAGTGCTCAGGGAACATTTGCTGTTATTAGTAATCACGTCAACAGTCATGATTCCATAGGACCCAGTTTGATTTTTATGAAGGTGAACTCAGAAGGGAGACCACCCAGGCCTCCCTGGGGGGGCTGGAGGGAGGAGGAGGGGACTCCTTAGCACCCACCAAGCCTGTCCAGCAGTCAGGATTCTGCCCTGGATGTCACTCTAAGGTCCCCCCACCAGGCTGGCAGCCCACCTACCATACACGGAGATGGCACCCAGAATGACCCAGGCGGACCACTCCGGGAGGTACTTGATGAACACCAAGGCCATGAGCGCGCTGATCATGATGAGGTAGGCCTGCTGCAGCACCAGGGGGCCCTTCCAGTGGATGCACACCATGCCCACCGCCCCGAAGTTCCAGACGGTCAGGAACAGGGTGGGGTAGTCCATGGCCACATTGTAGGTCTTGAGCACTTCCCTGTGAGACCAAAGTCAAGCCCAGGGGCTGGAACACTCACTGGAGATGTCAGACCCTGAGCCAGGCAGTCCAACACCCTCAATCATCAAGTCACATCCTGGCTTTTCCCAATCTCTGGCTCATTTATTAACATCACCTTCCCCACTTCCATGAGCCCTACAGGTAACCCCTTGTTTTCTGAAACAAGGTGGGGAGTACAATGACATCTTGTCCTTGGGCTGGACGACCCTCTGCCCATGGAAAAGGTCTTTGGAAAAGTGTTTTCTCCTGTGCCTCTAGTTTTTTTGGGCCCCTGGGTTAGGCTGATGTCCTAAATCCAGGGCAAGAGAGACCGCCTTCCCCCAAAAGTAGGAGGGACCCAGTCCCAGCCCAAAGATTGGAATGTAAATTTTGAGGCCTTTCTGATCCCTGCCTCAGCCCAGGTTCACAGCCTCCTCTGTGATGACTCTGAGTCTTTGTTTTAAATTAGGAACGAGAAGGAGATGTGTGGCCCAATGAAGGGCTCCATGCAGTGTCAAGGAGGCCAGGCTCCTGGAGTAGCAACAAGGGACACTCTTCCCTCCCGGGTCCTTCAGACCCACCCATGCCACAGGGAAGGGGTCTCGGAGGACTTGCTGCCCCTGGCAGCCACTCACCCAAGGTCCTGCTGTCCCCCAGCGGCCACTCACCCGAGGTAGATGTAGGTGAATAGGAAGAGCAGCATCAGAGAGGACATGATCAGCCAACCGTGGATGAACTGGGTGGAAATAGGCATCGTGACTGCAGGCCCCCAGGCCCCTGGTCCTCAGGACTGATACCCAAGCCTGGAAACCCTTCCTCCTTAGGCTCCTCCGGACTATGCTGGAAGGTGGCTGTTTTACAGGTAAGGAGGGCACAGACATCCAACGTGTTCTCTCCAGGTAACCCAGCAAGCATACCAAGGAGCTGGAACTGCTTCCTGTCTAAACACCTAGCTCTCTACTTGTTCACCTGGAAAGAACATGCCTGGCACATTCCAGGCTCCAGAGAGAAAGCTGGCTGGGTCTCTGCTCCCACATGCTGCATCCCCGGGTGTGGGCAGCAAGACAACAAACACATAGACACACACTAGCAGGAAGAGATAAGGGCTGCGAAAAAAACTGGCTGGGGAAAGTGACAAGAGACCCACTGGGTGCTTCTATTTTAGACAGAGTGTGGTCAGGGCAGGCTCCTCCTCTCCTGGCCCAAAAAGGGAGGGTCAGAAGTGAGGGGGGTGTCACTACAACCTGCCTCCTCAGAGGACAGACCCATCAGTCACCAGCTCAGGCCACTGGGGACCGCAGCAGTCACCTGGCTGTCTGCTCAAAGCGGAAGGGGCACCTCTGGTGTGTGCTGATTCTCCTCATCCTACCTGAGCCTGCCCAGACCACCATCACCTCTCGTCTGTGTCGTGGAGTAAATCTGACTGAATGGAGGCTCAGCGGCCTCCTAACAGTTCCTAGCGTGGTCAGGTGGCACCTGCTGACCACAGCACTGCCGGCTCTCCCCAGCCCTGCTCCTGGCTTGTCCTCATGCATGCCGTAGCCTCTGCTCCAAACAAAAGCCCTCTACCCTACCTTCCACCATCCACAGCCCCTTCTGCCCCAATCACAAACTCTTCCTCGGTTATAGAGGCAGCTATTCACTAAGAAGCTCCACCTCCTGGACACCCCCTCCCACTGCTCACCCCCACGCTCACCCCCAGCTGGGACCCAGCTCGTCCCTCTATTTGAGGCTCTCCATCTCTCTCTACCTGCTCCACAGATGCCAGCAGCCTGAATATCCAGTGCTGCATACACCTGCGTGTGAACAGTTTAAAATCAGTAATGTCTAGTTCAACTTCCTTTCAGTCCTCACGGCTTCAAAGCCTTCCTTGGGAGAAAAGCCTGAAACTCATGCCTAAATGGATCTCTGTGGACGATTTGGGCTAGGTGGGACTCAACTCCCCTGTTCCTCCCCAGAGCTGCTCTGCAGAGCAGGGCCCACCCAAAGGTCTCTGGGAGTTGGAAGATCTCGGTATAGCAGTTGTATACCCCCAGCTGAAAGGCAAATGGGAAAATAAAAATAAGCTTGGAGGGGAAGTATATGGTGAAAGAAGCTTAAAATAGAAAATCTGACTTCTTCGGAAGGACAGGCAAAATAAAATTAACTTCTGAATATGAGAAGTGACCCTATGAATGCAGCAAGGAGGAACTCAGTTAAGTGGGATTAAGTGTAGTTGAAAGGACAGGAGTAGTGGGTAACCCGTGGTGGGGCAGGAGTGGGGTGGGAGAAAGTACAGGCAAACCTCAGGGATATTCGGGTTAAGTTTCAGATCACAACAAAGTGAGTATCGCATGAAAGTGAGTCACAAATTTTTTGGTCTCCCACCTCATGCAAAAGTTAATGATTGCACTGAGGTCAATTAAGTGTGCAATAGCATTATATCTTTAAAAAACTGTTAAAAACAGCATTAATTAAAAAATAATGCTGTTGCAAAAATGTCACCAACAGACTTGCTCAATGTAGGTTTGCCACAAACCTTCAATTTGTTAAAAAAAAAAGAAAGAAAACACAGTATCTGTGAAACCCCCAAAAATGAGGTAGGCCTGCTCCAAAACTTGAGGTCTATTTTACAGGAAAAAAGGAACTCTGCTTAAAAAAAAAAAAATCCAGGGTTGCTGCAGGAGAGGCCCTGAGGCATGAAATCCAGGGTTGCTGCAGGAGAGGCCCTGAGGCGAGGCAGGAGGCAGGGAGCAGGCAGACCGGCTCACTTTGTAGCAGCGGTACTTGTAGAGCACGACCAGGAAGATCGTCATGGTGACGATGACGCTGATCATGATGAGGGTGTTAAGCACGGAGTTGAGGAGCCGCTGTCCCACCGAGGGCGTGTCCTCTGAGAACGGCGTGTAGATGCTGAGGAAGGAAACATGGGCTAGAGGTCTGCGCCCGGCCTGCTTGCACCCTCCACCCCAGGGAGCCTGGACCTGGTGACGCAGGCGCCCTGGGCACCCCTGGCCCTCAGCACAGCACTCTGGCTGCCCTGGTCTGAGTGCTGCCCACCATCCTCACGAGCTGTCCTGTCTCCCTGGCACCTAACTCCAACTTCCAACTGAGCTGATGCAGCCACCCAGGAGGGCCTGACTGGCCTTTACCACGGCCTCCTGGGCCCCCACAACTGAAACCTCTCCCAGAAGTGCTTCTCCCAGCTGACCCCACTCTCCAGCTCTGTACCCACTTCCCCATCAAGCCCAGGATGCCTCCAACCCCACTGCTACCCCTACCCACACCCAGCATAGCCCAGTAGCTGCACAGGCAGCTATAAATAAGGAGGCAATTCACCGATCCCACACTCTTAGGGAAGCAAACTGCTTGCCAAGTTCTCATGGTCTCAACACTTTTCACCTGAGCTGCTCTGAGTCCCCAACAGACTATATGCTTCCTGAGGGCGAGGGCTTCTTTCTCTACTCCTTTCATTATAGAAATCATAAACAAAATGTAACAAAAACTCCCTTTAAAAAAAAAAAAAGGTTTCAAGAAGGTACTCAGCAGTGATACCATAGGAGGCTGGGGGAGGGAGCAGAGGGAAGCTTCCCATTTTCCCAGGCTGCTGCTTCTTCCTGGATTCTTTTTATTAAGATAAACAAAATCCCCCTCGCGAGTCTGGGAGTGAGCTAAGAAATCCTGTGGTCCTCTCAAGTTTACATTCCCGGGAGAATGAATGAGAGGCCCAGAGAGAAAGAGACGTGTCCGTGGTCATGCAATGACGGTGGCACATCTGGGACAGGACAGAGAACTTACCTCCTGCTGTGAAAGCACGGTGCAGGGGCACTGCACGTGGATTAGCTCACTCAGTTCTCCTGGCAACCTTGTTATCAAACCCATCATACAGATGAGGAAACTGAGGCCAAGAGAGGTTAGGAAGGTGCCTGGACAGGTTGTGTGGATGCGGGCAGCTCCCCAGCCCTGCTCCCTGCTGTGGCTGCCATGGGGCCGCAGGTACAATGGCCAACACAGGCTGCACCCTCCGCCCCCAGTCCCGCTCCCTCACCCACCCCCGGCCCCCAACTCACAGCTGTCCATTCTTCTCCGTGTAGAAGCGCACGGACTTGATGGTGGCCACCACCACGATCATGCACAGCGTGACAGGCACAAACAACATGATCACGTGTTTCGCCCCGTATTTGAGGGTCAGCTCCTCCTCCAGGCCCGGCGGCCGCCCAGGAACCCCACTGCAGACGTAGCGGTCAGGGTCCTCGTCCTCACGGTCCTCCTCACTCTCCTGGCTTCTCTGTGGGAAACCATGCTGTGAGGACCACGGAATGCCCCCCACCGCGGGCCTACTGACACAGAGCATGGGTGAACTGGAAATGAGAAGTTTGAATGTCGCTTTTCAGATGTAAGAACCAGCCTATGGGCTGTAGTTTAGATATGGGATGGCGGCATCCCAGGACATTGAGAAGTTGATGAGGACAACTGGAGATTGAGAGTTGGCACTAGCCACCACAGATGCAGGAAGGGAGGCCACGGTGGCCGTGGACGAGGACAGTCTGCAGAATGGGTCTGCAGCAGGTCTGTAGATCTGTCCCTTCCCTCAGTGCAGGGGCTCAGGATGCCACTCAGTTCTGGTCACGTGGCCGTACTAGTTTGGGAGGAGCGAGGCCAGGTGATGGGAGGAGGGCACAGACTAAATGTTTTTGGTTGAAAAATCACAAGCCAGAATGGTCAGCACACAGGGGGACTCTCTTTGACTGTATTAACAAATAAGGCACTGGGAATTTGCAGAGGAAGAAATTACTTTGAAACTTTCGCCCCCGCCAAAATCCAGCATGCAAGCTTTGCAGCTTTGAACCAGAAGCTAACTAGGCATTGAGCATCTGGGAGGATCCAGGTTAGGGAAGGTGGGAGAGTATAAATGAGGAGGCAGCAAAGGAGGGTAGGACGCCTGCCAGACACTGACATACACTGATCTTCAAGAATGTGTTTCAGAATTGTGGCAATTCAGGCTCACTGGCTGCCTTGTTATTTACAGTAACAGCCATGACAAAGCCAAGTGAAACAGAAATCAAAAGTGACTGCTCTTTGGTATCAGTTTTTTGCAGAGAGAATTCCATCTAGATATTCAACTGAGAAGGAAAGGAAAACTGTTAATGGGCAGGAACTGAAACAACTGAAATGCGCAAAAAGTCCAGCAGATAAAAGGACCAAACAACGAGCAAGAACTGGCTGAGGAGTCGCGGGGCCGCGGCCTTGAGCCGCTGAGATCGCTCTCGGACCCCAGAGGAGGACAGGAGAAGAACTGAGCTCAAGTTTCACCAGAGGGGGAAGAGGCTGGCTGGAAGAAAGAAAAATACTAGAACTGGCAAAATAGAGAATGGGATTTAGGCAAATTCAGGTACTGTTTTTACCCTGATGAGGAGGGAGGGAGCTTGACTAAGTGACCCTCCCATGTACACTCTCCACTTCATACTGTTGCAACCTCCTGCCTTTTGGGCTACAGAGGCAAGATCACAGTGCAGCACACTCCTCCTGCTACGGGCTGCATGTTACTGACCCCCAAATTCATATGCTGAAACCTAACGCCCAACATGATGGTGCTGGAGATACAGGCTTTGGGAGGTGATTAGGTCATGAGGGTAGAGCCCTCAAGAATGGCATTCGCACCCTTATAAAAGGGGCCTGAGAGAGCTCCCTAACCCTCTGCCTTGTGAGGACACAGAGGGAACACAGCTGCCTATGAACTGGGAAGTGGGCCCTCATCAGACATCAGCTCTGCCAGCGCCTTGACCTTGACCTCCCAGCCCCCAGAACAGTGAGAAATATACTTCTGCTGTTTATAAGCCACCCAGTCTATGGTATTTTAGTTACGGCAGCCCGAACACATAAAACACATCCCCAGCTCCAAAGTCAAACACGAATCAGCTAATCTCTCAGTTCCCATCTCTAGCCATATATCAAAAAAGGTTCCCTCCAGTGGTTCCCTCCTACCGGCCTTCAGCCTCTGTGCTGCCTGCCCCAGCATCCACACTCACCCTCAGGTTCCTGCGGAAACAGTAACCTGCATAGGAAGGTGAACCAAGGGGCAGGGTTGGGGTGGATCACGCAGTCTACTACAGAGTCGGCCTGTGACTGGCCGTGCATGTGCAGAATCTACGATCAAGCCCTGTCAGACCTAGGATCCACCACAGTGGCCACTCACCCCTTTGGCCAGTTCTCACCTTCACTTCCCCTCCCTCTCAGAAATGGGATGCCAGCGGCCTGTCTGGAGACCACGGACTGCTGGCAGGAACCTACCCACTGGGCGGCACTCTCTCCATCCTCCAGGCCCTGCCGGCCGTCCTGGCAGGAGCGCGGCGTGGGGCTCTCGGCCGACATCAGGGACGTCCGCTCATCACACACTTCTTCCTCGCTGTCAGAGGCCATGAATGTGAGCATGGCCCTGCCTCCGGAAGTGCCTGGAAAAGGAGCACAAGGGTCTTCGTGCCACTCTCCTGAGGGGCAAAGGCAGCGGAGGGTGAGAGGTGGCTTTAAGAGCTGGACACAGGTCCTGCCCACAGTGACCATCCAGGATGCATTTGTCAAAGGACTGCTTTAGGGCTTCCCGAGTGGCTCAGTGGTAAAGAAGCCACTTGCCAATGCAGGCGACAGGGGTTCAATCCCTGATCCGGGAAGATCCCACGTGCCAAGGAGCAATGAAGCTCGCGTATCCCAACTACTGAGCCTGTGCTCTAGAGCCTGGAAACTGCAACTTCTGAAGACGGAGTGCCCTAGAGCCCATGCTCCAAAACAACAGAAGACACTGCAATGAGAAGTCTGCACACCGCAACTAGAGAGTAGCCCCTGCTCTCAGCAACTAGAGAAAAGCCTGAGCAGCAATGAAGGCCCAACGCAGCCATAAATAAACAAACATTTAAGAGAAAAGGAGAGCCCCCAGGAGCCACGACCGAGGCTGCAGTAGTCGCGAGAGGGACTGGCTAGAGAGGATGCAGGCCATGGGGATGAAACTCCCAACCAGAAAGGTCAGGGCCACTCTCAACTCTCAGCACACTCATTTGTTCAATCAACAAATATCTGACCACCACCTATCATGTGCCAATGACACATGATTTGTCCTAAAAGAATAAAAACCAATCCAATGTGGCAAATTCTATAATCCAAGTGTTCACTAAGAGGACAAGAAGGGACTAAATCTCAGAGATCAGGAGTGTTTTCTGGAGAAGATACCATCCTGTGATGGACACAGACTCTCCCAGGTGGGAGGGAAAGGCAGAGGGCATGAAGAATGTCTCAGCCTGAGCCTGACTGCCAGGGTTGGGCAGGGGGGCACTGCTGTGGAGGAGTTAAGGGTCTCTGGCGCCATGTTAAGGAGGTGGGCTTTGTCCCCCGAGGACACAGTGACAAATCAGGTCTCTGGTTAGAAATCTCAGTCTGGTCACGGACTGAAAAAGGAGTAGAAAGAAGGAAAGGTGACCTCCTTGGAGACAATGATGGGGTGTGAACAGGGCCTAAGGTGGCAGCAAGACGGATGGAAGTGAGGGGAGAGAATCTACAGAGACAAGATGTTGGGGACATAACAGGACAGAGTCCAGGACAATGACAGGCAGAGAGTAGGATGGAGGAGGTGGGAGAACAAGGTGTTGGGGGAAATCTGCTGAATGTAAATGGCTGAAAGGGGGGAGCTGCCTGGGAGGTGGCTGAGGACCATGGTCTGAGCTGGAGGGGAGGGAGATGAGAGTCACAGGTTTAGATGCTGTGGCCACGGGAGCAGTGAGCTGAGACCATGAGAGAGGAGTGTGTGTGTGTGTGTGTGTGTGTGTGTGTGTTGGGGAAGTATCGCTGCGGGCAGGACCCACAGGAAAAACCAAAGCTGAAAGGGTCACACAGGAGGGAGCCTGTCTCCAGAGACTGCTGCACTGCCCTGAGCGGCGTGTGGACTCAGCAGTACCATGTGGAAGCTGGGGCAGCCCGAACCCCTACCAACACCCTGGGCAGGTCAGCTGAGCCACCAGCCGGGCCAGCTGCTCCATCATCTGCCTCCTGGGACCCTGGGGAAGACTCATGCCAGTAGGAACAGTCAGGTCTGTTCTTGTCTCAATGTTCATCTCCATGTCAGTTGCCTTCAGGATTTATGATCATTTTTACTCCATTTCTATATTGTCTTTTTTAAATATATGGACCATTTCTAAAGCCTTTATTGAATTTATTACAATACTGCTTCTGTTGTATGTTTTGGTTTTCTGGGGGGAGGGGGCCACGAGACTTGCAAGATCTTAGTTCCCCAACCAGGGATCAAACCCACACCCCCCGCACTGGAAGGCTAAGTCTTAACCACTGGACCACCAGGGAAGTCCCTATGATTTTCAAGTGGAGAAGGCTGGCAGGTTCCTTCCACCGAGGCAGCCAGTTCTGTTCATCTTGGCAGAGGCTCTGAGGCTGCAGCTTTGTTTTGAAGACAGTGTCCCAGGCCGTGGCCTACATTACTCCCAGCTGGACTTCAGCTCCATCCCCAAGTCCAGGCCCATGGCAGAGCCTGATCCTACTCACCGACTCGGGCCCTTACAGGCTTCCCCGTAGCTCTCACAGGTAATTCAAAATGAGCACGCTAAGCTCCCCTGGCTTCAGCAGAGAAACGACACGTATAGGAGGGACAGCAGTGGTGACATCAGTAGGAAGCAAAATAAGGTCACTTCCAGGAGAGGTGACGAGGATGCTGTGCTGCTGGAGTTAAGACTAAGTCGGGGGGGGGGGGCGGGCAATCTATCAACAGTGGGGAGTAGATGTCTCAAGTCTTTAGGAGAAAGAGGGACATGAGACGAGACACAAAGGCTAAGAATATCTTGCCAGGCAGAGGCTGAAGTAGGTGGGCACCTGGAAGTAACTTCGTAAACAGATGGCGGGATGGGGGCCTTGGCTGAAATTATGAAACACCCAGCAGGCTGAGGTGGCTGAAGTGTGGGGACCATGGAGGCAGTGACAGGAGGTGGGACCATCTGAGGGAGGGGCGTGGGGGCCCGGCCGGAAGGAGGAGCGGAAGCTAGCGGCAGGAGGGGGCAGCCAAGGTTTCTGAATTAAGGAGGGATGTGACCAGAGTGTGCTGTGTGGGAGCAGAGGGGCGGCTGAGCCCTCCTGCCTCTTCCCCGGAGCCCCCAGGAGCAGTGCCGCCCAGGACCCAGGAGGCGGATCTGCTTCTCAGCACCCGGACCTTGAGAGTCTACCTAAGAGCCCAATTAGAGGGGACGGGGCTGTGAGACCTTGGGAAGTTCTTAGGGTCCTTCATCTATGGTAACAGTAATGAAAGAGATTACCTAACAGAGACCCAGGCAGAAAAACTCTAAAGTGCTCCTCTGCAAGGGTAGGCCCCACTAGATAAATCCTAAACATACACCTGCCTGGGCCCAGGAGATGCCCTCACTGACCCTGTGGCAACGCTGAGTCCATTCTTACTCAAAGAGCGACAGGGAACACAGAGCTAGCAGGCTGCACCTCAAGCTAAATTAGGACATCCTATCTGGAACAGTGTAGCAGCTCTTTCAATACTTTGTTTTGTCTGGGCTGTGAATTAATAATTTAGTTACCATCTCCCTCCTCCTGTTCTTCCCACGCCCAGAGGCCCTGGGATTTATCTTCACAGTGACTGGAGGAGCAGGTCAGGAATTCCTGGCAGAGGCGAGCTCACCCTTCAGAACCACAGCTGCCAGCAGCCAGGCTGCCTCAGTCCCTAGAGCAAAGCACGAGGGGACTGGACAAATAAGAGGCTAAGATGCTTCTTGATGGAGAAAGGGAGCTACAGGGCAGGTAGGAAGAGAAAAGCAGGGGATCCACGATCAAGTAGGAGTTAAGTCCTTTCCAATTTCCATTTCTTCAGCCAGTCACCAAATCCCAGGAAAACACGTCTGCCTCCCAAAGTCTGTGGACACACCCAGGGAGAGCACATTTAAAAACAGACTATATCCCTTCCATGTGAAACTGCAGTGCAGAGGGAGAAAGTCAGAAAACTACAAAACATGCTTTGCCAACCACCACATGTAATGTATGGCCTCCTCAGCAGAAAACAAATACTCCCTGGGCAGATTCCTTCCCTCCGTGGATGCTGCCCGGGACCCCCAGAAAAGCAGGGCAGGGAGGGGTTGCATCCAGAAGAGCCGGTCTTGGCTGCTGGAGCAAAGGCATCCTAATCACAGCCCTCTAGCCCTGGGGGAGGTGGGGACAGCTGGAGGCACTTTCTGGGGCTCCCAGCATCTGAGGGCATGGCTTAGGACTTTCAGAAAGCTGTAAGATGCTGGAGATGCTATTTCACAATGTGGCCCAGGCCACCTGAAGGGTGGTGGCAGAGCAGCTGTTGAGCCCTCACTGTGTGCTAAACACGTCAGGAACGAGGTACAGTCAGTCTCCTATGGACGAACCTTCAACCTGCACATTTTCAGAGATTCGAACATGAGTTCGCAAGCCCAGGAGCGTGAGTTCACATGTCTGGCGTACTTTTAAAGGTACTGTACTGTAAGATTAAAAATTTTCTGTTTCCTTTTTATGTATTATTTGTATGAAAAGTATTATAAACCTCTTACAGTATAGTACTATATAGCCAATTGTGTTAGTTGGGTACCTAGGCTAACTTTGTTGGACTTAAGAACAAACTGGATTTATGGCCTCTTGGAACAGAACTTGTTTGATGCAGGGCACTTACTGTACTGCCGTTATTTCTCATTTTACAGATGAGGAAAAAGATTTTAAAAGTGATAAGTTCAAAGTCATGCTTGGACTGAGGTGGTCAGGTTCTGTGCTCTTAAACACTATATTAGGGTGCTAACTTCCAATGCAGATCCTAAGTTTCATTCTGGCCAAAGGTCCAGGGATCTGCATTTTGAGACAGTCCCTGGGCGATTCTTAGGCTGGTGTTAAACCCTCCCTGGAGCTGCTCCTGCCAAGTAATCAGATGCCCCAGCCTGGGCCCAAACTTGGTGCTGAAAGTGTCCAGTTACAGTTCACCTCCCTGTTGCAAGGGCAGGGCCTCACGCACCTACCTTAGCACACTTACTTACTGCTCTGCACAACTTGCTCGCTGAATGGGGGTGTGAAAGAATGAGCAGTCCTTTCTCCTGAATACCCAGTGCTTGGTCTGAGGTCCCCTGGGGAGGAAGAGCAACAGGAGCTTTCTCAGACTAGGAGAGCTGCAGCGGCAGAATGCAGTGATCTGACTGACAAAGTATGCATGCAGTGCCCACCTGGATGGAGGGTGTGAAAAAACTGAATCTCAAGCATCCCTGGTACAAACTGCACCAGCCTTTTTGAAGGCAGTAAACATCAAGAGCTTTAAAAACATTCATACCTTTTGATCCTGAAATGCTACTTCTCGGAATCTGTCCTACGAAAATAATAAAAGATTTATCTGAAAACATGGTTGTTGCAGTCATTTATAATTTTTTTAAGCGAAAATG